ATAGACCGTAGATGGTCGTGAAGACCATATTGGCGAGCCACAACAATATTTGTAAGTTGCATAGGTTGGAGTTTGGAGTTGCATGAGTTAAGAACCACATAGGTTATACTTTTTCGCATGGTCTTAATGGTGAGCTATGATAATATTCGTAGACCGCGGTGACCCGTGTTGGGAATTGCATGGGTTGTGAATCAGATAGACATTAGTTGATCACAAAGGTCATAAAGATGAGATGTGATAACGTCTATGTCGTAGATGTTGAAGTTGGGAGCTACAAGAGTTGTGGATCACGTAGGTCGTAATTGGTTGTGTATGTCATAATAGTTAGTTGCACTAACACTCATAGGCTATAAGTGCCAGAGTTGGGAGTTGCATGAATTGTGGACACATAGGTCGTTGTTGATCATACAAACTGTAATAGTGAGCTGTGATAATGCCTATAGGCCACAATTGTTGGAGTTGAGAGATTTATGAGTTATGGATCACGTAGGTCGTAATTGGTCGCATAGATTATAAAGGTGACTTGCAATAATGTATGTAAGCCATAAAGGCCAGAGTTTAGAGTTGCCTAAGTTGTAGATCACATATGTCATAGTTAGTCACATATATTGTAATGGTGAGACGTGATAACATATGTAGGCTGCATAGGCCGAAGTTAGGAGTGCATGAGCTGTAGACCATGTAGGTCGTAATAGGTCATGTAGGTCATAGTGGTGAGTTACAATAACGATTGTAAGCCAAAGAGACTGTAGTTGAGAGTGTATGAGTCGTGGATCATGTAGGTCGTAGTTGGCACGGAGGCTGTAGTGGTAAGTTGCAATAATGTTCGTATGTCATAGAGGTTAAAGTTAAGAGTTATAGTGTTGTGGATCACATAAGCTTGAGTAGAAAGTTGTAATAATATTCGTATGTCATATAGGTCAATTGGGATCTGCGTGAGCTATTGATCACGTAGTAATATTTGGTTGTGCATGCCATAATAATAAGCTACAATAATGTTATTAGGTGAACAAGGCATATGTTGGAAGTTGTATGAGATGTGGACCACATAGGTCATAATTGATCCATTAGGCCATAAATAGAGAGTTATGGTAGCATCAATTGGTGGCATAGACCATAACAGAGAGCTGCAAGAAGATAAATTCAATAGTCTAAAGGAAGTCATTGTATCCAGAGTGCGATGGTCGTAAATCATTTTAGCATGAGTTATCTTTAGAACTTCAATGCGATGTTATTTGTTACCTCATATTAGGGGTACGTTGCAATACTATATTTTGGGTGCATCATTATACTACATTCTAGGTGTGTAGTCATACCATCTTTGGGGCACGTCGTTATATTATCATACCATCTTTGGGGCGCATCGTAATATTATCTCTAGGGCTCTTCGTTGCACCATTTTCAGGGTATGTCATTCCACCATCTTCACCTTCTTCGAGGCACGTTCTTACATCATCTTTAGGGCGTGTTCTTGCATTGTATTTTATCCTGGATGGTCCATTGATGGCGTTGAGCCCGGAGCAGACGACGGGCAGTAGTCGACCGTGCTTGATAATTGCAGGAGCAGGAAGTGTTTGTCGTGTTTTTTTTTTCAGAATGACTCTGAAATATTAAATCATCTTCTCCTTTTAGGTCCATGTACAACTCTAGGCCCCTCCCTTTCTTAAAGGGGGTAGGACTTTATTTATATAATATATGAGTATTTTCCTTGTAAATAAGAAATGAATCCATACCACTTCATTGGAAGACTCAGAGGGACTCTCAAAATAAAATAAAGTTTTGTGGAAATTTAAGTGCCTTCATGCTGTCGAAATTGAGTGATTTTGGGTTCGTTGGATTTTTTATTGAGGCGCTCAATTTAACTCTAAGCTAGTCAGATTTAGAATCCATTCTACATTCCAATTGGCCGCCTAAAATCGCTAAAAGTGACAATAGCTTGATCTATGTTTGATTTCGTTCGGAATGAGTCAATTTTAGTGTCATTGGGTCCGTCTCGTTGAGCCGATTAATTTAACTATAAATGTGTTGAAATTGAAGTTCTCAGAGATTTTTAATTTGGGTTTAAATATTGATTGCTAAAAAGCCTTGAGATTCATGCAAAATAAATTTTAATCATTTTTTTTTTTCATCACAAATTCACAACCACCATTCTAATATCACTCAGTGAAATTTTTGAGTTAAGATTTTAGGTAATTAAAACTTTATATTTAAGTTTTGGATGATTAAAATATTATATGTATTGTTTTGGATGGTTGATATGTAAAATCCCCTTTTTTTAAACAAGCATTATGAATTGAGGTTGAGGTTGACTTGTTAGCTCATCAAGTTCAACTCAGAAACTACTTATGGAGTCGACCTCGAGCGAGTTAATGAGTCGACTTGGCTCAATTACATGAGAGATGATGGGGTTGGGGTTTTATATGAGGTGCTATTTTTGTTATTTTTTAGATGTTTTGAGTAATGTGAGTCTAATATTGAAAAATTATTGTGAAATAGAAAAAAATCAAACTTTTTAGTGCTGGATGCAAATCCAAAAAAAAAAAAAAAAGGAAAATTTACTTACATAGAAACCACTCCATTCTTATGTATTTACATATTTAACATCTAAATTTTAAATACATAAAGTCTTACATGCATGAAAAAGTTTATTTCAAAATTTTAATATTAAAATTTGTGGAATGTGATATTGTTGAATCCAAAGTTGTATTTTAGAAGGAGGGGAACATGAGAGAGTAATTGTGCAAATCCCCGGAAAGAAACGGGGAAAATCATCCATTTATTTGTTGTTTTGCCTCCTATTTATAAAGGTGTATTTGTACAATTACAGAAAAGAGGGAACCCTTATGGAACCCCCCACTGATGCAATTAATTGTGTTGATTTTATATCAATTATATATTACAATTTGAATTTGAATATCACGGTAATCAACTAGTTGGCGCGTTTTAGCTCCGTCGACTGAAGCGACCGCTCAGATGACAGTTGTGTCTGTGGAAGTAAAAAACTGGTCGGTTGACTAGCTATGATCGAACACTCTTGTAAGGAGTCTTTAGGAGATCAAGATTTTAGGTGTGTCCGCCAATTGAATCTCGTGTCATAGCGTACCGATTGACTCAGACCAGGTCGTCAGTCGTTGAATGACCATACTGCCGACGAAGATGACCTTATGGAGTCGTCATAAATTAAACTGAGACCATCTGACCACTGACCACTGAAGCGGTAGGACCGATATGAAGAAAAATAAACCAAAGAGCGATCAAGCCCTCGACCATCGATTGAACGACGGTCCAAGATCCATAGACAACCGAAGGAGCCACCGAGGCAACCAAGGTCAGCAGTGACCCAACTCCTATCAACGATCTCTCTGATACTTTGAATAACCACACATATACCGAGAGATGCAAGGTTCAACACCATTAAATGTGTCATTAGCCAAACTAATCCAGGTCATTCAAAATAAGGACTACTTCAAGAAATCTCATCCACTAAAGATTGCACCATAATTGCTCAAACTAAATAAATATTATGCCTACCATCAGGATCACGGGCACGACAATGAGGAATTATGTCATCTCAAAAATTTGATAGAAGAGCTCATCTGAGCTAGAAATTTGAAGGAGTTTGTCACTGTTGGAGCACACACATAACAACATGGAAAGGACCCAGCAGAGGGGCCCCCAGATGGACCCGAGTAAGCAAATGCGATCCACTTAGCTCGGATCATCTCGGTTATTTTACAGGTCTCAAACAAAATGTTTTATAAATGAATTCTCTAAGGCCTCAAACAGGACATACCCCCACTAATTTAACCATATGAGGGTCATCTCTCAACCTAGTTTAACTTGGTCCACGTGGTCGACCTCGCAAAGGAGCTTGTCTAGATCGATCGACTTGTGAAGCGCTCCCAGCTCGCGCGGCACCTCGGCCAGCCAACTTCACAAGGAGACAACCTCCACCCAAAGGGCTGCTACCTCCGATTTTGTGGCCGCCAACCAAACTTTTGGATATTTCCGTTGAAAACTAGCCAATACCATGAAGGGCTCGATCCTGGCCACCTGTTGCTCCATGAGTCCTGAGGAAGGTGATCGCCACCCTGGTCCTTCTACTGGGGGCCGGTGACGAGTAGAGAGTTGGGCGATCAGTGCCCCTTTGAAGGGAATGACGACAATCGCCGCAAGCTCAGCTAGCAGACTGGTCGCTGCGGCGGAGGAGGGCCCCGCAACATCCTTTGAAGGCCCACCGACCCAATCTAATCATCTTTATCACATATAATGTCACAAAATTGTTAAAAAACGCTAATTACCGAAGAAAAGCTTTACGTACCCACAAATCTATTCATCAGAGAAATGACATTTTGAAACTTTTCTCTCACTTGCAATGAAGTGACTCCACCTTCGTGCAATGAGGGTTGAAGAGAAACAATGATCGTCGCTTCCTTCAGCTTTTTCCCACTCTCCTCAACACCTTCAACAATGAGACCTGTTGACTCGTGGCGCATACACCTATACCAGGCTCAAGGACCATGACATCCTGATGAGAGATCTCAGGCATTCACCCCCTTAGGATCCACAGATTGGTCGACGTGATCCGATGACACGGGTTCAGACCTGAGCTGCTTCCCTCTCTTAATCTTTTTCTTATTTGTAGGGTTTAAGGCCCAGAAGCCCTCTTTTGTCGGTTGACTCAGACTAGACGGCTGACCATTAAATGAACGATTCAGATTATGTTGAATGAACATATTAGATTATGTTTGGTGAGATGTCTCGATCCTTCGACCAGCATCTTGTGCCGCTCGATTGCTTTCAAATTCATGTCAAATAGTTTCAGTGTATATAAATATGAAAGATTTCAGTCATCTAAATGTAAAAAATAAAGACTTGGTGTTACATATGTAAATAGATAGTATTTTGGTGGTGGGCAAGTAAATGCAAAAAATAATAAAAAAATAAAAATAAAAAAGAAAAAGAGGTGGACTTTTATAGGCCAATAAATTTGCGCGGATCGCGCAATCAAGGCTATAATTTTCTGGGGCCCTAGCGACCTCTTCTTCATGTTCTTCATCCCTTTCCTGGTAAAACCCTAAAATACGTTCGGGCCGACGATGTCATCGGAAGTTGGGAATAAGATTACGCTGAAGAGCTCGGATGGCGAGGAGTTCGTGGTAGAGGAGGCTGTGGCCAAGGAATCGCAGACGATTCTGCACATGATCGAGGACGGATGCGCAGACAGCGGCATCCCTCTCCCCAATGTCAACAGTAAAATCCTAGCCAAAGTCATCGAATATTGCAAGAAGCATGTCGATCATGCTGCGAAAGCTTCCTCTGCCGTCGTTGTCGGGGATAAGTCAGTCGAGGAAGAGCTCAAGAATTGGGATTCTGAATTTGTGAAGGTTGACCAGGCTACACTCTTCGACATCATCCTGGTATGATATTGATCATTGCCTAAAACATTGATTGTGTTTTTTCTTCTATTCTTATCTTATTTTTTTTCTTTTTTCATTAGATCAATTTATATGGCCCTTGGCATGGGTTATTTTTTTTCATCTTAGAATGTTTTGTAGGATGATCTTAAAGGGTTGTTTGTTGGTTTGGTGGTGGGATTTGTCCAGGAATTTAAGGTGAATTATACTAATAATTTTTGTAGGCTTTCTCAAAGATCGGATGTCATGAATCCAGGATTTGTTTTGATTTGACTTAAACCTTAGATATAACAAATCCTTAGCTGTAGGATTTATGAACCTTTTATTTGCATCCAGATGAATTTTAATTTCACTCGGATTGACAACTAAACAGGCTTCAGTATTTACTACTCCCAAATTATGCTAAATTCGGACCCACAAGTGCTAAATAATGCTCGCTACTAAAAAACCCCCGGGTCCTAAAGTCAGCTTATCTTTTTCCTTCTTATAGACAAAAGTTGATGGGTTGGTTATTTTGTTGACTTTCGTTAAACTAAGGGATGTTTTGTTTGCTCATATCTCTCATGCAACATCATTATATCAGTTTGTGCACTGATATCAAATAGGTAATAATTATTTTCCTCCTATGAGTTTAGCTTGATGTTATATAGCTCACTTGAGATTTCGTAAAATATCAAAAACTGCTTTGGCGTTACCTTGTAAATTTCATTTTTTTAATTTCGTATCAAAATAACTCTTTTTCCCTTCAAAATATATAAGTGAAATGGATATTTGAAAAATACATCACAAAACTCTCTTAGAAACATAAATATATAGCATATATAAAAATTCGATCTAATGCGTACGAGAGAAACAAAGAATTTGTCAAGAACACTTCATTAAGTTGCTAATACACCCACACATAGTTCATATTTCTTAGAAATAATTTTTAAACTTGTTTAGATTTTTATTTGAAAAAAAATGTCATGTACTCTTTTTATTATATATTGCGGCATTACATTAATACCATTCAATTTATATGCATTTGCACAGCTGACACCTAAACTTTGTTTTTTTTTTTACTTTTAAACCACCCAATTCTTATCTTTTCAAATTTGAAGAACCCACCCTTTTTCATGCTCAGGCAAGTTGTTATGTACCTAAAAATTAAACTTTAGGTGTTAGATATGTAAATGCATAGCAATTGAGTGGTATGTATGTAAATCTTCCTTATATTTTTAAGGGCAAAAAAGTTTATTCGAAATCAACCTGCCAAACAAGAATGACTAATTTCCGTTAAGGGTTTTATAAAACAACTTTTTGGTTAAACTTCCTAGGTGTGATTTCAGCTATTTAAGTTGATGAATTTAAAATTTTTATTTTTTAGGGTTTGATATTTGCATTTTTTATTAGGTTAAACTTCCTAGTTTGTCAGTCAATCGTGAGAATTAAGTTGTTTTAACTTTTCTTAGATTTGTTGGTTTTCTAGCTTATGTTGATGTTTTTCATTCATTTGTTCATCCTAGGTCCGGTTTCTAGTCTTAGTTTTCTACTTGAGATTGAAGTTTCAGTAACCTAGGTTTTTCTAGCAAATTGGAGTCTGTGTTAAACACATGCATATGCTAAAGATAGTCACATACATGCTGATTAGTTCTCATATTTTTTATATTTAATCCTTTAAAATTTATTAATATGCTTAACATTTAATATTTTATACTCAATTATTTCTTTAATTTTAAAACTTAACTTTCATATAAAAAATATTGTTAATTTCAATATATTTAAAAAAAATTAGTTTTCGCATGCAAAAATATTTGAAATTTTAATTTTCACATGAAATTGATGATTACATATGTTGACGTACTATATGTTCAATTAGTAAGGAAGCTAAGGCCCAATGCATGGGATTGCAATGCCACTTATCTTTATAAGTATGTACTTCTAAATATTTAGAAACACAATTCTAAGATAATCAAGATTGTCATTTGAAACTGATGCGTAAAATTAAAAACTAAAAGAGAAGTGTCAAACAATACATATGGGGAAATGATTTTAAGGTGTAAGACTTGATTAGTGTTTGAAAACCATGTGTGGGTTAGGTTATAATTGACAAAACCAGTGTCTCTTTTGAAGAAAATTAATCAATGCATGTGCATTGAATTTTATTTTGACTATTATAATAATGTTTTGGCAATATTATCAATTCAATTCAAGTTGTTGATACGCAAAATCTCTTTTGGGATTAGTTGGGATGGAGATTGCCGTTTTGGCTGTTAAGAAAAATAATCAAGCAACTTGGTCTCTATATTGTTGTCTACTCTACATATTCTCTAGCATATATTTGGATCCATCGCTATTACAAATTGACTAAATGACTTATTTATCTTTTACTATTTATTGATCCATAAACTGCAAGAAATTTTGTCTATATGATGTGGAAAAATATCTTTAAAGGCATAAAAAATCACGGCCATAACTATTTAGGGATTTATCTTAAAGTTTATTCCCATAGCTCAATTCTTGGAAGGATGTGAGCATGAGTGCTTGGCTAGTCCTTATAGTGAGGGTCAATATTGTCTTATAGATATTTTGGAAACTTGAGTCTTCATTAAAGCCTTCTTTTTTTTAAGGGATCATTTTTGTCCCTGCACAACATATATATAAAAAAGACAGATGTGTCATGCCACCAATCTATGGGGATCACTTCTATACTCATATAGAAAATTCTTTTTATTTGGGAATGTCGATTGTCCTTTTAACAATTTCTTTGGTAGTTATAACAACTTATTTTGGGAAGATAATGATCTCAGAGAGTAATTAAGTTAGTTTAAAACATTCTTGCTTTTGGTATACTAATTATATCTGACAAAACAATAAATTGTCTCATATCATTTGCACACATTACAAAAGTCGGTTTAATTAATTCTCAACTCCTACTAATAAAATTTCATCAGATAAAACATAAAATTCAATTCATTCTTAATTACTTTGATTACCATTGTCAATTTCTATTCCCTTCTTCTATTTTCTTTTTCGACACAAATCATATTTAGTAATGAGTAGCCCATAAATTAAAATTATAGAGCTAAATACTTACCTTTTGAGAATGTGATATGATTGTATGTTGCTCAATCAATTGTGCAACAGTTACTTTATGTCATTCATATTAGTACATACAAATTTTTATTTGAGCTTTATGCATATCAATACGTGCATTTAGGGGTGTCAATGAACCGAGCACGAGCGAGCCATGCTCAGCTCGTGTTCGGCTCGTTTATATTTCGAGCTCAAAAAGTGTGTTCGTGTTCGGCTCGTTTGCTTAACGAGCCGAACACGAGCTGTTCACGAACAAAGAGTCCTTTTAACAACCTTAATCATGTAGTCATAAGACAATAAGTGTTTGAGCAAGATTTAAAAATTATTATTTATATTAAAACATCATTTGAATCTAATTTAATAATTTTTATTCTATTTTCTTAATCAATATTTTAATTGATTATAAATCTTTGTATCCTTGTAGTCAATTAGATTTTTTTTAAAATACTATATATATATATATATATATCTATATATATACTTGATGAGTAGTATTTCGAGCCAAAATGAGCCGAACACGAACTGTTCGAACAAAATTAACGAGTCGAACACGAGCTTCTTAACCGTGCATTCACTTCTTGCAATTTATTTTTTAACCAATTAAACTGTTGTTTTTTTAGCTAACAAAAGTTTTACTTTTCTAATTTGCTTGTGGCTATATCTTTTATGACAATAATATCTAGCTTAAGCTCAAAAGTTGCATTTAAAATGACTTTTGTGATAGGAGGATTCTCAACTTCCGCTAGATTATGTTCGATACCTCTTATTTCATCCTACATAACAAATTAAGAAAATAATTGTGGCTAGATCCAACTTTAAAATATTGAATTTTTTGATATATTTTTTGTGGCATGTTTTTTGTAAACCCTTTGTGACACAGAATCACATTATTTTCTAATTTCTTTGGTTGATACATGCTGAATCTTCTTTTCATCAGAAGTATTTGGTAGTTGTCCCATTTCTATTTCAACTTGTCATAATATATTGTGTAATAGTGAAATTATGAACTATCGTAATTTTTAAAAAATTAAAATATGATATACAATCTTATAACCCGTTTCTAAATTTATATTAGCCATTTTTTAAATTATATTAGTAAAAACATAAAATCATCCTGAAGAATCATAGCATCAGATAGGGAAATTTAAAGGGAAGCATTTATCCACAAATTTATCATTTGAGTCATTTGATGTATTTTGGTATAAGTAGTCAGTTATTATAATATAATGCTAAGTTATCTGAATTAAACATATTAGGTATAAGATGTAAAATCACAAACTTAGGAATTTTGCATATAAAAGCTACTGGCTGAAAAGAATAATGTAAGGTTATATTTCCCCCTTTTTGTTTTATGGAATGAAAATAAAAAAAAAATTAGAGGAAGTGAGTTTCATTCGAACTTTATGTTTTTCTGCAAGCTAGTAGCTTTTAGTGTTTTTGAATACTTAAAGTTTGTAGGGATAAAGTTTGTAGGGAAACTAAAGTTTAAATAGATCATAGTCCTCTTTTTTTTTCATTTTTGAAATATAAAGTTTTCTTGTAAGCCTGCATTTTCTTTCTATGTTATAGCTTTTACTTATTTGGTAGGAGCTGCATTTATATATTGAATGCCTTACATTTATAGTTTAACTATCTGGTTATCGTGTTATATGAAATGACTCATGGGTAATTTTATTTAAAATAATAAATTCTATTTGCAATTTATTTTAAATAGTGATTCAAGTCTCTCATTATTACATTATAGAAAATGACTCTCTGGTGAATTCAAGTCATCATTACTTCATCCAAATATTCCATTTTCTGATATTTAGCTGGGAAATTTATTTTAAATGTTTTATTTTTAAATCTCTGTATATTTTTGTTATATTTCTTGAGGACAATTTTACATTTTCTTCACATGATAGAAGTAGCTTTTCTTCATATGCAAC